GATGATGATAATAATGATGAGAGTGGCGATGATGATGATGATGATGATGAGGGGGAGGAAGACGAGGATGAGGATTTAGACGAGGAGTCTCACAGCGAGGGGACGGATGAAACGGGTGACGGCAATGACGGCGCGCCGGCGGTGAAGCGGCAACGGCTAGAGGAAGGGGCCAGTGAAGTGGCGCGGCGGTGCCACGAAATGGTGGACTGCCTCCGCCGTCTGAGTTACCGCGTGAGGAAGCAAGAGGATGGGGAGTCGTCAGAGGCGTACCTGCAGCAGTACTTGGTACCCCTATTCCAGGAGAAGGGTCTGGACCCGGCGCGATACAGCAAGGCCGATGTGAGACGATATCGTGTGAAGAGAGAGCTCGAGCAACTACAATCCGACGGCGCCGATGTCAACTTGGACCGCGCTGCACGTGCTGGTCGTGGCCTCAATGGTCTCCTGCCGGTCAAAGACGCCATCGTCAACGTCAAGACCTCGCAGTTCCTTGATGAGGAGTAGGAGGGGTCTTCCAGGCTCTATCCACTGCCTCTTCCCCTCCTTCACTTCATCCCTACTCTTTCCCCCCTCTCTTTCTCCTTTTTTTTGTCCATGAATTCCTTCGTCAACCCCAGCTTTATGCGGCCAACGGCAAGGGGCGAGTGAATTTGGATCATATAACGCGGCGTGCTGCTGTTTGTTGCATAGAGCAGATGATGGAATATGATCTTCTTTTTTTCACTACTTATTTAATTGTTTTTCTTTTTCTTTCTCTCTCTGTTTGCTTTCCCCATCTATTTGTGTTTGGGTGGTTGAATGATTCTTGTAACGCCTGACGGATGCCCTTTGTATTTTTGTTGCATTTCCCCCTTCTTTCCTCTTTTTTTTTTCTTTTGCGTTACTTTGCTCGTCTGTTGCGTCAACAACAACAAAAAAGGGGGAGAGGTGTCGAGTGAGGGATTGGATGGGATTGGAATGCGAGTTGAGGCATCTCCAATTGCCAAGAGTGAAGAGAAACCTGATGTTGTGGATTTATTCTTCTCTCTGAGGCCGTCCGCGGCTGGGGCGGAGGCGGCGTCTCTGACGGAGACAGTCAACCACAGCAGCAGTAACGGCGGGCATGAGAGTGCCGAAGATAATGATGGTGTCCACAGGACTTTGACATTGCCAGAAGCCCCCGCAACAAAGGGGCCTGGATGGTCGAAGTCGCTTCTTGCATTTCATCAGAAGCGCTACGATTATTTTCTGCAGGCCTATTTTGGCTATGGGATGGAGCAGCGGACCAAATGCATTCGCCAGGCGGCACAGATGTGTATGATTGGTCTTGGATTGCAGAAGAAAAGCCAGACACGAAGCGGCGACATGGTTCACGCCATGCGACGTTTTCTCCGACACTCTGTGCTTGCGGTGGAGGGAGACGCTGTTTTTGTCAAGCTTGTGCAGAAGGCAAGGCCCAGGTGGTGTGACGAGGGGAACGAGCATTTCGATGACCCACGGCATTGGCCAAATGCTCGCTGTATCGCTCTCCACTATGGTCTACCCTCACTGGCTACAAAGACAGGCGTGTGCTGCCCCGATGCCAACACTGAAACTTTGCTTGGAGTGAAACCTGAGACGGAGCTAGAGGACCGGAAGTTCCCAGCGGCGACACTAATGGCCGTGGTGGCCACGACTCCTATTGAGGAGGGTGAATCTGTGCGTCTCTGTCTTCGTTCGTACAACCGTTGCATAGACGAGGCTCTGTGGTACGAGGAACTCTTTGGACCCCGCTGCAATGAGGGAAGTGCAGGGGCAGCAAGTGTGACCCGAGGACAAAAACGGTTTGACATGTGGCCAGAGGGTTTGGCCTTTTTCCACGGTGTGGGATCACGCCACGCGGGCGCGCATCCAGTGGCGGGCTTTCCATTTACGCTACTTGACCTCATAGAGACAAGGGAAATAGGGGAGGGTCAGAAGGGTCTTTTCGCCGCGCACCCCGTGCCGTACGCCACATGTTTTCTCTACTGCGGGCCCGCCGTGGCGACCAAAGTCGTGGAGGAGAGGCGGGTGGGTGCAGCAGTGAAAAACAGCACCATCACTACTGCCGCTGCCGCTGCCGACGCCACTACTACTACTACCACTAATTCTAATGATGCTACGACTATCGTCTCTGCTTCCTCCGCTCTAGCCAGTAACTTCACAACGACCACCAGCTGTGACAACATGACTACCAATAATACTAATAACAGTAACTCTGATAATGAGGATGAACTATGGAGCGGCATACCAATTCATGACGCGACCTACGCGCTTGGACTGGGGCAGCATGGAATTTGTTTTGGTCAAGGTCTTATGCGGTACGCCAATCATCGCTATAACATTAGCAGATTTGGGAATGTGGAGCTTTGCTCTGTGATACTTTCAGTGACAAGTGAGTTTTCTTCATTAGTGGCAGAGCTTGAACGGCGCCGCAGCTCTACCTCACGGAAGCGAAGGGGGAAACCAAGAAACTCGCTGAGACGCAGATCAAACAAGTCAACTTCAATTATCAACGGAAAACGGGGTGATGATGTGATGGGCGCAAAGAGGCGGCGTTATCGCCCCCTCGTTGGGCGCCGCATATTTTTGGAAGAGCACAGCCATTTCGTTACGGTTCCATTCTTCATTGCAACAACTGATATAGAGGAAGGACAACAACTGTTGGCGTGGACCTACGGTGAGGAGTATGACGCGCGTCTTGAGCGGCAGGTTGTGTGTGATGGGAATCTTGTGCCCTATGCAGATGCGGCTGTGCTTGATGCACGAGTTCCTGTGGGCCGTTGGCAGTGTTATGGGGGGGACTACCGTCACGGTATGGGCGTGAGTGACATTGTTTGGTGCCGTCAGCCCTCATTGAATGGGTTTCGAGATCCAGTGGATGACTTGTTTGTCGTTTTGGATATTCCATCTCACGGCATTGGTTATCTGCTACTGCGTCCCCTTTCCCGTGGAAGTATTGCCCAGGCTCAGGCCCTTCTTGAGCCCCATCACAAGGCGATGGATGAAATGATTCTGCTGGATGTCTGTGAGTCCAAGACGCTGGAGCAATGCATCATTACTCACATTGATACGGTGGCCTTGCTTTTGGTTGATATGGATTATTGGACGCTGAAAGATGCCAAACGGACCCCGACATCATCTCCGCTTGCGTGGAACAGTTGTGGTTGTGGTGGTGGGTCGTCATGTGTAATTCGTCATGTAGTTGTGGATGGTACGGCTCTCCGGGCTGCGACGAGGCTTGTTCTCGAAAGTAAACATGTTCTCACGACGACGACCAATATGAGAGTTCTTACTGGATCTGTGTGGCCCTTTCTGCAGGGGTGTGACAGTGCTACACGACCCTGTGGACGAAAAGGGATGGCGAGGGACAGCAAAAATAGATCAGTTACGAGTAATGGAGCTTCCTATCCTTTGTAAGAGAACCGAGGTGGAAGGAGGGTTCGTCTGCGCATAATTTCTTATCTACGCTCATGTCATGGATTTTCCATGTTTTCTCCCTGTGTGGGTATGGGTGCGTTTTTTCCTTACTCTTTCTGGGGACAGGAAGAAAGACGTCATCTTGGGAAAGAGGCTGTGGGCGAATTGTGCCATTTTGTGGCGGGTCGCGACACGCAGCCTAAGACAATAACGGAGGAAATAAAAGAACACGATTGGTTTGCCTCTTTTTTTTTTCCACCCTTTTCTTCTGGGGTGGTTGCCTGCCCACACGCAATCACTCGAGACAAAGGTACGCGGAGGGGGTGGGCTGTGGGGACGAGACCTTTGCCTTCTGGGGCCTGCCGAAAGACAACAACAATCCAGACGGCAAAATCAAAGGCCGAGAGACGTAAGAATACGGGCAAATATGCCTCCGGGAAAGGAGGAAGGTTTGGAGACCTACACCACTCTTCTCGGCACGAAAGCGTACATCCTTCACTATGTGCCGTTTGACGACAGCTGTGATGACACTGCGAAGAATGAGAGGGGAGGTACCGCTAGTCGGGTACAACGGCATACCTCAGCTTCACCAGGGCCGCGCCGCGGCTTTCCCCCACGCAAAAAGAAGTCGTTTGGGGCACGTGTTTTGCCAGAACCCCCACGATGGGGTTGTTTGCGGGGAGAAAATGAGAAGTCTGTAGGGTATTGCATTGACTTGCCATCAACCAACAAGGAAAAAATTGCCAGCAGAATTTTTCCTGGGTTACCCGCCAATTTTGACAGTCTCTTGCCTACGACTGTGGTTGTGCCTCCACTTGCGACCTCTGCCTCGTCGAAAGCCCCGCTGCCTGCGTCCAATAGAGCTGTCGTGAATGCGGCACAAGCATCACCGGCGACGGAGGAGCTGGCTGTGCCTGCGGTACCGACAGCTCATATTCCACCTGTTTTTTCAGCGCCAGAGGTTGCATCTGCCGATGTTCCGGGGCTTTCATTGGCGTCGCCATTGCACGTTAACTGTGGGCATGCGGCTGGTCCTTCCGCTTGCTCGGCAGACAACCACCAATACATGATGGAGGGCGGTTTTGTTTACTGTCCGCGGTGTGGGGTTAAACTGCGCCGTGAGGCCTTGGTGGAGTATTCACCAGCTGATTGCCCAGTTACCCACGATCAGGCAGGTGACGAGAAGGAGGGGGGAGAGACCAGTAACTATTGTTTTCTCTGTGGTACCTTTTTGGGTGTGCCTTCCAGGCCATCCCAGGGGAAGAGGGAAAAAGGTCCGAAGGAAGGAAATGCCTCTGGGATTCGTTGGCAGCCACCACCGGCAAGACTCGGAGTGCCGAGAGCAATTTCCCTAGGACCAGCCTCCACGACGTTAGAGAGAACCAAAACAGTTACAACGCCTCATGCCTGCATGTATGCTTCGGCTAGAGCTGCAGCTGTAGCGACATCGACGGCCAGTGAAGAAAGAGAGCTTGGAAGGCCAGGTTTCGGGATGGAGAAGAGTACAATAACTCCACACCAAGGCCTGGGTGAAATCCAGGTTAGAAAAATTTTTAATTCGGTGCCCGTTGGCGCGTCGGAGACGAATGTTAAGAAGAACGCAGCGTGTGGTGAGAATGCAACAGAGACCTTCACCACTGAAACATCACTGCCGTATCCTTTGAGATCGGCATCGGCAGCAGCAAACACCACGTCAGCGAATAGAGCTGTGAATTCCCCCTTTATGCATTCGGAGGAAATGAAACAAGAGAAGGCTGCTCGGGCGTCAGTGCCTACGCATGCCGTTTCCTTGCACGGTGGCGGAGAGACGCGGGTACCTTCCTCAGCCCCACAGGTGGAAATGCTGTACACCGTTGGCGTACCAGGTGTCACATGTGGTCTTCCGCACTGCGCCTTGTGTGAGCCGCCCGTGGATCTACCGCTTCCACCCGTCATGTTGACGCAACGTTATTTTGCAAAAGCAGAAGCAGAAGGGCCTGCTGATGCCAGTGTTATCGTTGTTCATAATCACTATTATCACAAGATGTAAATTCATCTCGTTTAGAGAAAAATGGAACATGGGAGCCACTTCCCGCTTGGTTTCCAGTGTATCATTATCAGCTGTACCCAACAGAGAAACATCAACTCGAGAAAATGTAATAAATATATAAAGAAGGAGCGAAACACACACACACACACACACACACACATACACAATGTACGTTTGAAGGAGTTTTTTCCCCCTACGTCTTTTCTGTGTATGTGTGTTTTGCGCGTTGTATCGGAACAGATACGTTGCTGCTGCGAATACGCCAAGTCCTAACAATGCTCTTTATGTTTCCTCTGCTGTCTTTGGGATGAAGCTGAAGGTGAGCGTTACGCTGCGTTTGCCTTGATGAGTGATCCTGCGGATCTGCGACGCGCCGCTGCGCAGAGGCAGGCAGCTACTAAGCGACGGCGGCAGCGTCTCTTATCAGCCAGTGACAACGGCGCCATTGTGGAGTATGAGCCTGTTATGTCTTGCACTGCCGCAGCACCATCTCGGCGCATTTCCCTTCCACCACGTCACACTCTTACACGCCCTCAACTCTTCAAGTACTACAGGCTAGTCACCGGGGGCGAGCCATTCTCGATGCAGTGTGATCCCAAAGAGGAGGGCTATAACTACAGCTGGTTCACTCCAGCCAGCACTGAACGAAGGAAGAAAACAGTAAAAGGCCGACGCCGTTTGCAAGAGGCCCTCGTTGTGGCTAGGGATTCACGAAGTGCTCTGGAAGGGGGTGTCAGAGGTGTTTTTGACTCCGGCCACCTTTATTCCCCGATTTGCCGCCGGTTTATAAAGGCTCCTGAAGAGAACGCCATCGTTGATGCTCACAAATTGATGATAAACCAATGCGTAGGGAATGCTGGAGACGTGGACACAACTATTATTTTGGTGCAGCCGGTGGCTGGGGATCTTCCCACTGAAGAAAAGGTGGTCCGCGATGAGTTGCTTCGCGTGGCACCTAAAGGTCGTGAGTGGGATCGGCAGCATGCGCTGCGCCATGTTATTGGCCCGACAGCTCAAGAAGCCATCATTGACAGCTGCATCGACCCGAGGTATCGCCTTCCGGGCGACTATGTGCGTCGGAATGGACGGGGTGTGCTACTGGACGCACGTGGACGCCCGATGCGTGTGACGAGGAAGTTTGTGACGAGAGATGCTGAATCTGTTTTGCGTAGCGGTGCCTGAAGCTTTGCACTGTTGTATAGTTGCTGTTGCTCTACGGAGAAGTGGAAACCATTCTTAGTGAGAGGGAGACCGCAACTGGCGGAGACTTACTCTTGTATTTTCTATGTATGGGTCTCCTAGGCGAACCTGGAGGGGAGTGCTGTCTGGGGGGTGGGGGGGGGGGGGGGGATTACAAAGCGGCAAAAAAAATAATAAATGATACTTTGCATGGTGCCAGGGTGGCCTTCTATGCTTTTACTCACACTCTTTTGTTTGGTTTTTTCCTTATTTTTTTATTTTTTTTTTAAATGCTCTGCGCCCTGATTGGATTTACTCCACTGCTGAAGGGAACGTTTCAGGGTGATACTTGCGAGAGAAGCATCGTTTTTATTTCTTGTGTAGTTTTCAATGAGCGAGGTGACGAAACCAAAAGTCTTCTTCGTTCTTGGCGGTCCAGGCTCCGGCAAGGGCACAGTCTGTGCCTCGCTTGTGCAGGAGTTTGGGCTTACTCACTTTAGCGCCGGCGATCTCCTCCGCGAGGCAAGCAATAACGGTACAAGCGGCGTGGGGAAAAAAATTTCGGAGATACTCAAGGCGGGGAATATTGTGCCCTCAGAGATCACGGTTGAACTCCTCTCGAATGCCATTGCAAACCACCCAAACCAGCGCGGGTACATCATTGACGGCTTCCCCCGCAAGATGGACCAGGCACTCATGTTTGAAGAGGGCATTGCTCCCGCGAAAGGCATATTCTACTTTGATTGCTCCGAGGAAACGATGGCGGCACGGGTGGAGCACCGCGCCAAAGAGGGCTCAGGACGGGAGGACGACGAAATGGAGGTTCTTCGTCACCGCTTTCGCACCAATGTGGAGCACTGCATGCCGGTAGTGGAGCGCTACAAGCGCGAGGGCCGTCTCCACACCATAGACGCCAACGGAAGCCGAGAGCAAGTCTACGATAACGTGAAGCAGCTTATGCTTCAGCTTGGTGAGGAACCTCTGCAAAAATGAAAAAAATCTGTTTTACGGTATTTCTCGCCTCTAACTCCCTCATACACCTTTTTTCCACAATTTTTTAAACACTTCCGTTGAGTACTGTTTTTTGTGTTATCTTTCCCCAAAGCTGTTTTCACGGTGTTGTCCTCTTGTATTTTGCCCATATATATATATATATATATATTTGTTATCCATTTTTTCCCCTCTTTTTTTTTTTTTTGGCTGCTGCTTCTTTCTTACTCATCCACACACCCGCTGTAGGTGGTTTGTCCCCAGATTCTTACAATGGCCCGTCGTCCGTCACGCTGTTACCGCTTCTGCAAGAACAAGCCGTTTCCGAAGTCGCGTTTCTGCCGTGGTGTGCCTGACCCGAAGATCCGCAACTTTGACATTGGCAGGCGCCGTGCTACGGTGGACGAGTTCCCCGTGTGCATCCACGTGGTTTCTCGTGAACTCGAGCAGATCTCTTCGGAGGCGCTGGAGGCGGCCCGTATTCAGGCCAACAAGTACATGGTGAAGCGTGCCAACAAGGAGGTGTTCCACATGCGCATCCGCGCCCACCCTTTCCACGTGCTCCGTATCAACAAG